TAGCTACTCACTCCCTCATGGTAGCAAACCTAGTTTTCAAACCACCCCATACACTGAATACAACTCCCAAGACTGAAGGTGTCTCAAACAATAAGGACTTCATTATAACACAAACCAAAGCAATGAAAGGCAGGCTGCCTTGGGTTTGTGACTGAGAAGGTAGAAAATTCCATCTCAAGTATCCTGCGAGCTTAAGGCCAGGAGTTTGAGACCACTGCAAGCAACATAGTGAGACTCCTTCTCTACAAATAATGTAAAAATCATCATCGTCGTCCTCATCCTGCAAGATCCATAAGATCCATGAAAAAGGTAGTCTATGTTTTGAAGAAACCAAAAGAATCCTCTGGGTCAAGTCCATGGCCTAACTCCTCAGAGAGAAAGGAACGAGTAATAAGGCTACTTACAGATCTCTCTGGTGAAGTGAACGGAAGATGACTGAAGTTTACTACTGTCTGGAACCTGATGAGGTGGGTGAAGGACACACTGTCGGCAGCTGCAAAACCTGCCAAGTGGTAGAAGTCAAATGGTTTTTGCCAGAGAACTAGCAGTCCCAGAATCCTGGCAAGGCACCTGGGTACGGTGAGAAATGCCTTGTAGCTCCTACATTCCTGGAATTTGTGCAGATATTCAATGCATGACATTCAATTTAGGCAGATGAGTCCCTCATAAGAGATCTGCCCCAGTGTTATGCTGAACATGAACCACCATGCCCGGTACATCTACATTGCTTCTCTCAGTTGAATATTCTGATACCCAGGAAGAGAAGGCCGAAGGCTTTCTCATATTCACTGCACTCAAAAGCCACTTCCTCACTGGGAGTGCTCCTGTGTATACTAAAGCTAAAGTTTTGGCTAAAGAATTTCCCAAATTGACTTCATTTATGAGGCCTTTCTCCACTGTGACCTCTCCAATGTCAAAGGAGTGAACAGCTGTGATGAAATGAATTTCCACATTCACTGCATTAATCAGGCCTTTCTCCAGTATGAACTGTCCTGTGCCGAAATGAGACTGAAGTTTTGAGCAAAGGATATTCCACATTCACTGCATTCATAAGGCTTTGCTCCAGTGTGAAGTCTCCTGTGATTAATGAGACTGGAGTTTTCAGTAAAGCTTTTGCCACATTTGTTGCACTCATAAGGCCTTTCTCCAGTATGAACTCTCCTATGTTTAACAAGACTAGAAGTTTGAGCAGAGGATTTCCCACATTCAGTACATCCATAAGGCCTTTCTGTAGTGTGAATTCTCCGGTTACCCTGGAGTGAAGACCTTTGGTGAAATGATCTTCCACATTCACTGCACTCATAAGGCCCATATTCGGTATGACATTTCCAATGAACATGGAGTTCAGACCTTTGCCGAAATATTTTCCCACATTCACTGCACTCATAAGGCCTTTCTCCAATATGTAGTATCCTGTGATTAGGACTAGAAGGATAAGCAAAAGATTTCCCACATTAACTGCACTCATAGAGCCTTTCTTCAGAGTTAATTCTGCAATGTTACTAGAGTGAACAGCTTTGGTCAAATGATTTTCCACTTTCATTCCACTCATAAGGCCTTTCTCCAGTGTGAACTCTCCTGTGGGTCTTTAGATAGTTTTCAGCAAAGGTTTTTCCACATTCACTGCACTTATAATGCCTTTCTCCAGTGTGAACTCTCCTGTGTTTAATGAGACTGGAGTCTCAGCAAAGGTT